GTCTTTAAGACGTAAACCTGTCAGGCTTTTAGGTCTTGGTTTGGACTTTCAAATCAGATGCATGTTATTGATGTGAGGTTGTGTTTCCACCTGCTTTCTTATGGCTTTTATGTTTGGATAATCTTATCTCAGAAATGAATAAATGAGAATGTAATGGGATACTATAAATTGTAAAATAATAAAATAATAGCTTATTCTTATATAAATAACAAGATGCTGACATTTCCATATTTTTATTAAAGCCAGTCCACTCTCATTATGTTAGCTATTGTTGGTTTGATGGCCAATTTAATTTCATTGTTGTATTAAAAGCCACATATACCAACAATCATTCCAAGTGCTTTCAAGCTATTGAAGTAATGAAATAATCCAGTGTTTCAGAGTAGTTTATTGCATGTATTCATCAGTTATCTAGTTATCATTTCCTTGTTTTCCTCTCCCCAAGTTCAGTATAAATGGCAAACCACTGCATAATGAGCTTCCTGAATCTCAAAAATATGTCTTAATTCTTTATTCTTAAAAACGTCCAGCAGATGCTAGTTTTAAATCAAAATAAATACCTGAAAAATAAGGAATTATCAAGATAGTATGGCTTATTTTTGTTTTTAATGTTTGACCCTATTTCATCATCAGTGGAAACAGAGGTAGACAACTTGTGGGAATGTATCGTAATTGAATACAATGCTCACACGTGAAATTAAAGTCTGCTCTAGATGCAGGAACTGAAAGCTAAAGGAGGGAATGCTGGGCAGAGAAATTGTCTGATCTTGTAATTGGATTATTCTCCCACACTGTTCTGAAGATCTGTTTGTGTGTACGCTGGAAGATGAAGTAGCCAAGTGAAGCTAATGTGAAGAGACGATAAAGGTAAGCAAACACAAGAAGAAGGAAGGAGGATGTTCATAAACATATGAATAAGTGTGTTTTCTGGCCTATTACTGCAGTTGCATCTTTCATAACAGCACAATCATATTAAGCTCTACTTTACATGAGTTTGCATTTTTTCTAAATTTGTGTTTGTGATTAAACTTGTGAAGTTGTTAGACTTACAACACTTACAGATGTTTTAGATAACTTAAAAAAAAATCCAAAGCAAGTATGGGAATGAAAGCTGCTGGACTGTTGCCTTTAGAATTATATTTATCAGTCTTGGGCTGAATTGCTATTTGCTTTGGGGTGCCATTCAGCTTTTGCAGTTTGTTTGCTCACACCTCGTCTAAGCACGATGGTGTGGGGGTTCTGCCTCAAACTTTATAAAATGTTATGTGAAGTCTTTCTACTTGTAATTATTAATCAGCTATCAGGAGAGAGGAAGGAAAAGTTGATTGAGTATAGATAGAGCTTGGTAATTAAGAAAATGAAAGATTCAGTAAATGGGATTCACATAAAACTAAGGAAAGAGTTAAACAAGCATGGGAAATAAGAATTTGAATTGTTAAGGATCGCTTGATAGAGATCTGAGGATACTGTTAATTATGCTTTGTGAACCAGAGATGAACAGGATTCAACTTTACCAGCTTTAAAGTCATAATGATGTGTTCTTTGGGTTACCCATGTTCTTCTTGACAGTGCTTTCTCTGTGCACAACTCATACTGTTCAAAAATGACAGCCACACATCGACAGAATTGAGGTTTCTACTGTTACATTGAGATTAAACCAGATACAACCATGGCTGGATATACTTTGAAAACATTCCGTGTTTTAAGACCACCTATACTGTGAAGAGGACAACAAATAAATTTTCAGGAAACTTGTTTAAAATAAGTACTGCCTCCACTTCTTTTAAACATTTTCTCACATTTGCGTGGTTAAACTGTCAAGACTTCTACTGTTGGGTGTGTCGGGGGTGGTTTTATTTTTTTGTTTTTAATATGGCAAGTTTCTTGTACATTCATATAATAAAACTGAAAGTTCTAAAATAAAAATGAAAACTAAAAATGTTTATATATGAGAAAATGGATATATATATGAGATATACATGTATACCTGTGCTTGGGAGTTCTCTTTATAGCTATTAAAATTCTGACTATGGAAGTTGGTACAAACTCTTAGAAGATCCTATTAAAGTTTTCCTGAAAAAGGTTCCTATAAAAGTGTTCCTAAGTGTTCCTGTAAAAGGTTCCTGGAATGTCTAACCAACAAACATGATCTGACAATACTTTGAATAAATGCAATCTCAGTACTTAAATAAAATGACTTCTTGGAAAAACTGATAAATCAAGTACACTGTAAATGAGGAAGAATACGGTTAGTTTTGAGTTGGGTGACTATGGAACAGAAGTTTATATATGATTTCAGAAGGATGGAATACAGAGATATGGTTAATGCCCATAAGCAGCATAACTGTGGAAATGTGAGCTAAAAAGTGAAATAACTGATTGTTTATTTAAATGGATTTCTAATCTCTCTTTTTCTTAAGTATTTTTCATTGCTGAGTAGATTAAATTGAAACTGGTCGTGCATACTCTTTAGTATTTCACAATAAATAAACTTTTTTACCCTCCAGTATCATTTTTGGATTAAACTAGTACATTATCTAATTAATAATGTTCTGAATTTAAATTAATTACCTCATATTTCTTAAAATAAAATGTCTACCCCTCATAAGCCTGTATAGTATAAATTATGCTAGAATATTATAGAAAAAGGAATGCTAATGTAATGAGCTAGGTATGGCTTTTATATGCAGTAATTAGTTCTGTGATGGGTAAATGGAGATGAATAAATTAAGCAATAGCATCATCAGAAGTGCAATATCAGAAAAAGCAGAATTTTTATTGTTTTAAGAATAACTTGCAAATGGTCAGTGCTATCAACCAGGAGGAACTTCATAACATTGATATAACTTGCAGAAACATCCTTTTGACCAACTTTCTAGCACAGTTGGCAGAATTTTCTGTGTAATTGTACAATGTTTTCAGTAACTTTTTCTTAGCTTCTTCTGATTTAGGTGGTTAGTCTCAATTACTCCTCCTTACAAAGCCTGTTTTGAGTTGTCGGAGTTACACACGCTGAAAGACACAGCGATCATACTTGCTTACTTTACCAACTTCCATTAACTTACTGTGTATACATATTTTCCTGTTATTTTCTTTGGCAGTTGGGTTAAGGATGTAGGTATTTTATCAGTGAAATTGTGTGTCACAGGTGAAAAAGCAATTCTTAAATAATTATTTCCTTCTAGAATACTTGCTAGAAAAAGCATTAGGAAGTCCTTTCTGCCCCTGCCTCTATTTTCTGTTGAAAAAGCTCACCCATCCCACCTCCTCTCTCTTGAGTCTTCTTAAGTTGTTCATAGCTCTCTGTAAAAAATAAAAAAAAATAAAAATAAAAAAAATGCCCTACTGACAGCCAAACCAAAAATAACAACCATCAACTTCTTAACAAAAACTGAGTTAAGAATGTCAGGACTTGACTTGCTTGTGCATTTCTGCGTTTTAAATTTGCAAACCTTTTTTCTTACTGTTTTAATGGCAACCAAAATATCAAGCAAAACGAGAGTCCTTCTGCACTGAGGAAGGAGAGAGGTGGGGTGGGTGAGGTGAGGTGAGAGATGGGGAGCCAGGCTTCTTTCTGCTTCTCAGAAACAAAGGCCTGGCAGCAGCTGGCTTCACAGGATAACTGCTTTAATTAGAATAAGGGGAGGAATACTCGTAGTGAGCACTGCTGGGCATCCTATATTGGCGTGCCATCAGACAGTGCCCTGGTAGGTTTTCCGTCGGTATGCTCTGTGGAGCAGATCCTGTCCTTGGGAGGAAGCTCTTTTGGTAACTCAAGCTACTATATAACGTCCTCAACAAGAAAACTATTCTACTCCTAATGTGTGTTCTTGAGGGAATTTCTTGCTGCAGTTTAGACAAAGGCAAGGCCACGTGGGAGCTGTAGTCACTGGTACCAAGGGGCAGTTGCCTCCAGGCCCCTCTTGGGTATGCTGAAATGGCTGAAGTTGTCCTGCAGTCATGAGACACGAACAGCTCAGACCAGTTGTCCCCAGCTCCTAAACCTGCAGTACTTTCCTAGTCAGCAGCAGCTTCCACTTGTTGATTCTTATACTGCTCCCAAGGGTACTTTCTAAGTTACAGATTACACTAGTTACTCAACAGAGCAGAAATGGCCTGTTGAAGATGACCATCTTGTCAAATACAATGTCTTCTGTGAGGTCCCACTACAACATTTTCCTAGTGATTATTTTGGTTTTGCTTTTCATGTGTAATATCATTAATTAAAATGATCAAGAGCTAGGTTTGTTGTGTTTGGTCACTCTGTCTGGTCGAGTCAAGTTTTATGAGCTTTTCAAGGAATTAGAAGGAATGGTCCTTTTTCATCTCGTGTTCTCAAATAGAGGAAACCAAGTACAAATGATAATACTTTATCATTGGAATGATGAAGGCACATGGAGAAACTGAAAAGCATCAGAAGAAACCCAGCAATTTAAGTTCTACTCTTTTTCTCTCTTCTTGACCTGCAGGTTGTCCTGTGCCTCTTGTGTTGATCTGTGATTCTGGTCTATATTGGTCAGGACTCGCAGAGCAGAGAAAAGAAGAGGAAATTAGTATATTAAAATTGGCATACATAATTTTATTTTTTTTTTTTGCTAAGTAAACAAAGCACACGTCTCATCTTGATGGCATCATACTGTATGTCTATTTAAATTTATAAGAACATGGTTTGGAAATAGCAACGGCAAGGAAAATTAGGGAACCTAACAGTAACCAATTTGGGAAGATTCGTTCTCCCAATGCTTGTAGGAAGCTTACATCCATATCCTCACCTTTTAGCTTGTGAACATCACACCTGGATCTGACATGCCTGGTTTTCTATCCCTTTGCAAATCATCTCTGTGAACAGGGTTATGCTTCCTTGTCTTGATTTACACTCTATATTTCTGCGTTCTTTAAACTTCTGTGTACCGTACTATTTCATTTGCTGCTACGGTTTATGTAGGAAGTGTTATATGAATTATATGTGACTGCATACACATGTTGTGGTTATTTTATAGGTGGTGATTCGTGCTCAAAATGGTGACCTCCTCTATCGTATTTCGCCTTGGGCAAGATATGTAGTTCGTGATGAAGACAAAGTGAATTACGACTGGGTATACTGGAATCCACCACTGTCATATATAGTAAGGCTTAAATGTTATTTTCAAAAGATGTATGAAACCATGTATTATGTCATTTTTCTGCTTGGAAGAAAAAGAAAGTCGATGCACAAAAAGGGGATAATAAACTTGTTAAAGTAGTTACCTGAGAAGTAAAGGGGCTTTATTTGTGACTTTGACAGCCATGTGGTTTTGACCTTTTTAGTATCCCACAGAGTATATTAAAAAATAAAAAAGTTACCCATTAAAGTTGTATTTCAAACTTGACTTCTCAGGTACTAGGCAAGCTCAATAAATATTCCAGTGCTAGGTGACCCTTCCTGGTACATCAGTGAGTAAGGAATTACCAGACAGCCAGGACTTAGATTATTTCACTTTGTCTCTTTTAATTTCTGTTCATGTATGTGTGGTTTTTTTACTGATTTTGTTCTAATTTTTCAAAATTTCACTTGAGTATTGAACTAACAAATAGGATATAAAATCTTCTAACTTTTTTTTTGTTGGAAGAGGGAAGAAAAAAACTTTTTGGGAAAAATAGGTTTTAGGCAATATTATTCCTAAGTTTCTTCAGATAAGGCTTTTGTTATAAAAAGTAAAATCCTGATACAGTGTAAGCTTTCCTTCTAGTGTAAGGAGGAAGTTTTGTGATGAATTTAAGTTGCCTCTGTTATTGAAATGTTTTCACACACCTAGAAATACTGTGTACTGACCTACAGACTGGGATTTAAATTTCTTTTTTAATCCTAAATAATTGGAACATAAATGATTCTGTGCTGTTGATCTGTGTTCTTTAAGACTAAATTGCTTACAATTTTTAGTTTGGAGAAGGCAGGGCAACTTGAAATAAAAACCTTATCTTTCTGTTGTTGTCATTTTATTTTCAAATACTTTCAGAGGAATTTGATAATACAATGGCTGTTGTTTGTACACTTCCATGTAATTTGAAAAGCATATAAGCACAGTGTTGAATCATGGATGTCCATTTTCTTGATGCCTAACGATAACTGTTTGTTTCCTTATAGCATAAGCATCCTTCCCCCAAGAGATTGAAAAGCTTAAGAATCTATGAATCTCATGTGGGGATTGCTTCACCAGAAGGGAAAGTAGCTTCCTATAAAAACTTCACATACAACGTGCTACCTAGAATAAAAGATCTTGGTAAGTAATAACAGCGATACTTGCAGAGATAAAATTTTCATGTGCCTGTGTTCTTATTAGAAAAGAGAATTATCAAGTGTCCCCGTAAGCATTTTGCATTTTCAGATTACCATATTGTGAAAATAGATTCTTAGGACAGCAAAAATTAGAAACAAGTAAAATTTACATAAAAGAAACAGAGACTGAGGTAGAATATGTGAATCAAAGTCCATTCCACAGTTTTTAAGTAAAATCTGATTGCAAAAGCCTAAATAAATGTTGCAGAGCGATTTTGCTTTCGACATGGTTTGCTTTCCGCTTGGAAAAGGACCTGATTTTCTAAGAGAGCCTTTAGAAAATGCTGTATTCTTAATTGATTCTACTAATATACTTCTCGATTCGAAGAAAAGAAAAAGAAATACCTGCATAGAAAGGATTGTGCTTTCTATTTGCCAGAATAAGCGTGATAAATTTTTTATCCCTGAACAGTTGTGATGAAGTATCAGAACATGTAAACTTTAAATCCGATAAATCCTCTTTTAGAAAAGAGCTTCTAGTATATTGGAGGGGATGTTTGAAAGAAACAGCTGGCAGGAAGCAGAGCAAACCTGTTCACCTCAGTTTGTATTTGATAATTATTTTTTTTCCTGTGGCACTGTTACTATAATGGACAATTTTGCAATTGGTGCCTTTTATTGCCCTGTGGTAAAATACATTTTGTTACACTCAACTGTAAAATAATTGTGACATCTGTGGCTGATGCCTCTGTGAATGGGGGCTGTCCTAGCATTGTCTGATTTTAGATAAATATCTATCAGAGTGCCTGAAGAAGCCATACTTTTTTCATGTAGGTTTACTTAATGAGTCAGTGTTTCACAGAATAGTGTGGCTTTTTACTTTCAGTAAAGTTAATCTTGCAGGTGAGATGAGGGAGATTGCGCATCTGGATACCCTCAAAAAAAAAGTAAATCTTTTCCACATTGTGTATATGTGACTTTCTCTACTGCCAAAGAATTTCTGTAATTCCAGGAGGTTAATATATTCAACAGAATATATAAATATAGAAAAAATATAAATATAAGTATAAATATATAAATATATAAAGCTTTCTGCTTTACCTACACATTTTTCTTTAGGGAGGAGAAATGGAGAAATATCATAAAAGAGCTGATACACCACAAAATAAAAGCAATATCAAATTTAGGTAGGGTATACAGAAATTACAGATAATGTTTGGGGTATTTTTTATTTACATTAAGTAAGCACTATAGGAATTAAGTTCTTTAAAAAAATATATTTTTAAAGAGTGTTAGATTTGGTTTTGGAATGTCTTGCTAGAACAAGCTTAGAGACATCAGTATCTAAGAATGCTAAGATAGTAATAATTTTTAGAAATACATGCATGACAAATAGCAAAATAAATAACAAGCAAGTCAAATAAGATTAATTTGATGCAATGTTGTTGTTTATTTATAAAAATGCTGTAAATAAGTGGAATGAGCCTGAATTGTAAAAGAGTAATGAATCTGATGAATTGCTGAGCTCATGCCAACTATCCTCCAATAATAAGTCTTTTATAGCTGCAAAATTCAAAAACGAGAACAATAAAAAAGGTAACCAGTATCTTCTCTAAACTGAAGAATGAAGTGAACGTTTTGGTTAAACTAATAAAGTCAAAAGAGAAGTGGTGGTGGGAGTCTCAGCAGGCTGTGGATGAAACACAAGGGTTATCTGTTGCTGATAGTCCTCACTTACTAGTTATCTGGGGCACTTATTCACTGCTGTTAAAGACACCTTTAGTTAACAGGTGTGAAAAGTACTGTGGCTTCACCATTAGTCTGTTGTTCTTCCTTTAGATTTCCCTCCCTTAATACTGCACTGAACTGTCTTAGCTGGTACCAGAGACAGCATGTCTCCTGCCCTCTTGTACTGCCTTAAAATGAAAACACATTGCTTGTGTTTTCTCTTTCTTGAAAGACTCTTGTTTAATCATTGAAGTTGGAAAAAAGTGGTTTTCAAGTGTAAAAAGTTCTAAAAAAAAATAAATAGATTCCACAGGGCATAAGGTATAGTGTGTGTGATTACCCCCAAATCCCCTGACTTCAAGTGTAAAAAGTGGAGTGGAAGTTGTGGATATGCAGATAGGCTTAGTTCATATTTCAAAGTTAAATTAAGATTATATTTGCATGTCACTTATTGCTTTCTAAATCTGAGAGATTGAATACACCTAGTTATATGTAGATCACTTGACAAATTGACTGTTCCATTTTTAATGGAAGATTATCTAAGTGCAAACTATTAGGTGGAATTACTTCTCGAGAGAGACTCAATCTTTAGTTGTTAATCATTAGAGTTAGAAGCAGCTAAAATGAGAGGAGACTGAAATGAATGTGTTACAGGTGTTGAATCCTCTTCTAACATCCTTAAAGTTTGTTTGGTTTATTTCTTCTATTTTCATAGGGTATAACTGTGTGCAGCTGATGGCTATTATGGAACATGCATACTATGCCAGTTTTGGTTATCAGGTCACAAGCTTCTTTGCGGCATCAAGGTAGGTTTAAGCACTTGAGCATCTTCTCTGTTCCTTTATTTCACTCCCAAGCCATTGAAATCAGTGTGCCTGTATATGTGTGTTTGCAATAAGTATTTAGTGGGAAGTAATGACTTAAGTATTTGCTCTATCTTGTTCTGAAATCTGAAATCAGCTGGGCATAGTGATCAGCCTTTGTGTGAAACACTTCGTATAGGATACAAACAAAAAGGTTATGAGTAACTCCTGCTGTCATAGCATGTTGTTCCAGGTAATGCAGCTTAAGCAGTCTTTATGCATGGGTTTTGTGTTGTGGAATTCCTGGCAGTAACAACCACTATGTGCAAGCCATTCTCTTGTAATAAACACAAGTGTACACTACTTGTCCATAATAAACTTGATTAAACTCATGACTCTGTGTGTTCTGTGGAAACTTTCTCCCATTCTTGCAACAGGATTTGAGGCCTAAGGTGAAAATAGCTGGAAAATATGGTCAGAATCTTATTTTTTAAATTATGTTAAACCTGAATGCTGTGTTATGTATATTTGTTCATCTTGGTGAAGCTCCAGTGACAACTAGACTAAACTCAGATAGAAAGGAAATTTTAATTGAAAGAAATGTGTGTTGGAATCTGTATTTAAAAATGAGTTGGAGAGCAGTGTGGTACCTAAAACAAATAGCTAAGCAGGACAGCAGCAGATGGTGTATTTTGGGGACTTAAATGTACATTTATTTTTGTAATTTTGGATTACTCTTTTTCCAGTATTATAAATACATTCTTGTCTCTTATTAAGTAAGGAAGTGTTCAATACTAAATAGAAGATTTAAGTTCTATCAGTTATCTTTTATACTGAATTTGATGTATTAACAGATTAAAAGGGAAGAATAAAACTTGGAAACCATTTCTGCAAGACATTAGGTACATGTATGATGCAATTATTCTAAATAAAGAATTGTTTTGTCAGTTTGTAATCAGTAGCTACTACTTAGGAGGCTGAAAATAAAACGTGTATACAACTGAAAACTTCATGATGAAAAACTGCTGACTTTGATGTAGTTTTTTTGAATAATATTTAGTATTGCCAGCTTAAGTTCAGATTGTACCACTCATAACACATTACATTTTCACACTGATAGCCGTTATGGAACTCCAGATGACCTGAAAGAAATGATTGATGTTGCTCACTCGATGGGCATCACTGTTCTGCTGGATGTCGTGCACAGCCATGCATCAAAAAACTCTGAAGATGGTCTCAACAAATTTGATGGTACAGATTATTGTTTCTTCCATTCTGGTCATAAAGGAACTCATCAGCTATGGGACAGCAGGCTCTTTGACTATGCAAAGTAAGTATGAAATGCTCCTTCAGGGTGTTCTTATTTCTTGCCAGTTCTGTTAAAACTGCACTGTTTGTCAAACTGGATAAGTCATTTGGGTTGTTTAGCACTTAGAATACACCGAGTTAAATTCCTTTACTTTGATAAATAATTAAATATTGTTATTTAGTGTTAGATTTAAAATTTTACTGTTCTTCTGTGGCTGCATATGTTCACATTATATACCATGGGCATTGTATGTATTGTGTAGTTATTTTTAAAACAGATTAAAATATTTTTATATGATACCTATTTGTTATATAATTAAATATAATATATCCCTACGTATTTTGTATATTATGGATTTATATTTTCATAATATACTATATAAAATATACATACATACATGAAAGGATAAAACAATGAAGAAAACTTGTAAGCTCTGGAAATTTGTTGTGAAACTGTCAGATTTTCACTAGTCAGTTTTAGAGACTCACGGCATGCTTAATTAACGAGTAGAAATATAGTGCATGTCAAACCACTTGTTCATGCCAGATGATGATAAGCATGTAGTATTGTTTACTTTGTATTCTCTGAGGTTTTAGGGGTGAGGGGTTTTATCTTATATGGTGACTACTTCAGTGGTTTAAATGGAGAATGAGGCACAGGCAGCTTATTTCAGTCTCCTTCTCACACTTTTCCCATGTTTGTTCATCCCTGAAGAGCCTTGATTACTCT